AGGGGTCAACTTCAAAAATATGACCCCAGACCAACTGCCAAAATATTTTCCCACAGTTCAAACAATTTTCCCAGACATATCTACTTCCAAATTCATAGGTCCATCCTGTTTATGTGTAAAAATAAATTTTCCTGTAAAAAAAAGATTATGATGGTGTATTTTGTTGTTATTCGCTGGTAAATTAAGAATAATTCATCCCAAATATCTTAGCCAAGTTTATATAAGTTAATACTTAGAATTTGCTAATGAAAATTTGTAAAAATGAAATGTAATTCGAAAAGAGCATTGTAAATCGTAAAAATACAAAATCCTTCACTCAACGGTAACACTAATATACTCCTAACAGTCAAGTTAATTACAGCGGTTTCTCTTTTTAAGCTTGTTGTGTTGTGGGAATTGAACAACATAATGCACATCCACAAAATCTAAGGTAGAAATCTGTAATTTCATGGGCAACAGGCTAATTTTGTCATTAAAAAAAAACAAACACATTCATCTCTTTATGTTTGGTACTTACTCGTTCATCACAACTTACCTCTAATTTCCGTGCGGCTTTGGCTTTTCTAGTTAAGGCAGTTGCTTTTTGTACAAGCCCCGCTAGGGAGTCCAGAAAATGTAGAGCAGCCTTCAGTTGAGAATCGGTTAATACCCATAATAAGTCATCTAATATTATCACCAGTCTTGAACCCATTATAAAGCAATCTAATTAGAAAATTGAATTAACTCGAAAACAAAACATCTACACTTTTAAGCTATACCTGACAGTCTTTTTTTTATAGTTATTCTACATCTCGCTTGATTTGTTAGTAACCTAAGGGGAGTTAAGTTCTTATCTTTGGTCGATTTCGCTTCAATCCTAACCGTTTGCCACTCCAGCTCTTTAAAAATCAGTAGCTGACCCTTATCCGGTTCCTTCAGTCTCGTCATACGCAAGTCAGACCTCTCCCATCCGGGACTTTTTGATTCTAATATAATCCTCGAGACCTAACCAAAGCAATTATTGGCACATTTCTCTTGTAATGCAACCCTTACTTGTACGCTCGCCGTAAACGCTGGACTATTAAACGTTATGTTCACCGTATTGACGGTCACAGTAATTCCGTCTATCACCTTGTGAATAAAACTGTACTTCCCGGGGACGCCCGCATACGATGATAAGCCGGCTTGCGCCGACATTGGCCTGAGCTCCTCGCATGTCTCCGCTATGATATTAACCTCGTCCAAATTCTAAATGGAAACATATTGCACGTCGCGACAGAGGTGACTTAATTACTTACAAGGTGAATTGGTACACTCTTTAATTTCGTCCACTGTATCCTAAATGTTACTTTATTACACAGCGCCTTGGATAAGCGTAACCAACACGGCAGCTCCAACAGATCAGTAAGAACTATTTCGTTTAATTCGAGATTTGTCAATTCACCCTCCCCTTTAAAGGTGCTTAAGTTCACCTTATCGGCAGACAAATTCTTTGTAAATCTACGACGACAATTAAAGATAAACTAGTCAAATATTAGATGTATACAAACACAAACCTAGAGAGATGTTTTAAAAGTTGATTTTTTATTATGGACACCATATTTTCTACAACTACAGATCACGTGCGACTTTATTTGCTTTTTACATGACTAGAAAGTAACGTTTAATGTGAGTAATTAAATACATAGTTAAAAAAGTTGCTACAAGTACAAGATAAAAGTTTTTAGACTGACGATGACATTAGATTGACTTTTGACATTGCCATCTAAATCAGGCCTGCCAACCCCAAATTTTCTCATTGCTACCAACCTTGTACATTTTTGAATAATAGGTTTAAAAATTTTGAATTTTAAATTAAGAAACTCGCCATCATCAATTCAAATGAAGATTTAAGTGTTCGCAAAAAACATTCCAGGCTTTAACTTGTCCGTAAGGAATAGACTTACAATACATTTTTTTCAAATATTAGGACAAGGTTTAAGTAATGGCGCAAATTAAATATGAAACATTCCATGGTCCGTGGAAACATTCGGCAAAAATTTAGCACAAGCGCGTAACGTCTCCGTCTACATGATCACTCAACACGGACAGGAATGCATGGAATGCCTTTAACTGCGTCTCATTTGACCCATACATGTTACATACATGTTTTCACGCAATTGGTGATTAATGAAATTAATTTAATAGTTTACCTTTTATGCGTAACTAGAGACAGCCGTTTGTTTAAGAGTTTACAGAGTAATATTCGCTATTGACTAGTCAGTCACCTATCGGCTCAGTGCAAACCACAATAAGGCAGTCTAAAAATAACACGTAATGAAAACAATTGTAATTTGTAGAATCTGATAAGCCTGTATAATAGTCGCGGTTCATTTATTTATACTGATGTGGGCGATGGTAGCTGAGAAATGACTAAAGATTTTAAGTATTTATCCTTGTATAGACAACCAACATTCCATCTTGTGACGTGTTTATGGTTCTTCCCAATGAATAAAAAATACCTATTCATTGGTCCTTCCTATCCATGAATCAACGTATAATATTCTTCGTTGAAACCGAGTCATTTTCACTCATCGCTTCATTTATCAGACACCAATTTCAATGAATTTGTAAGCACACATCTTTTTAATTAACCACAATTTTTTGTTACAATCAAATCTTGAAGAAGAAGCTGATTAACCTATGTTTTTACTTATGCAATGATCCGACATTCTGCTGTACAATGGGTAGCGCCAAACATTCTTGAGCTGACAGGCGAGACGAGACCCAGAGATCGCAGCCCAACAACACTTTCACAGTTTCACCACACGACACATATTAGTCTTATTAGCCATGGAAAAACAAAACCTGAACTTTATGCCAGCTAGCTTTGCCACAATTGTCGCTCGTGTAACACGGTCAGAAATCACCAAAATCGAGTAGATACAGAGCTGTATCAAACTTCTTACTATAGAGTCGGCGTTTCTTCTCAAGAAACGGTTGGATGGAGTGTAAGGGGAAAATTCATCGTCTAAAGGTAAAAGTCTGTGGTAAAAGTAATAGCAGAAAAGTCCAGCTGGGTTTTTGACACAGCTGTCCGCCGTATCATCCACAACCATTTGTTCCCAAACAAATCTTGGCGATTCAGGGTCAGCGTCGGGTTGAACGCTTGATGTTTTTTGCTGGAAAATCTGTATAGCTCAACTAACTAGTGATAGTGGAAGTGCTCGAAAATTAAAACCTCTTTAATTAAATTCTCGGCTTCCGGTCATCATCAAAATCTTTCGCACTTCCAATAGTATTACTATATATATTTATTTATTTACGTATTTATTTATATGTTTTGTATCAATAAACATTAAAGGTTTTTACACTCGTCAATAAAAACAAATATCTAAAATATAATACCTATCACAAATTTCATCGATACTAGACACAATCTAATCATACGAGGTTTCCTGCAACACATCCGATTAGCTACCGACTACCGTCTTCACTTCAACGACCAATGTTCATCGACAGCGATGTCTAAGGATCGGTTTGTAGTGTACTTACCCCCAGGTTCTACGCTAACTTCACACTACAAGAACACGGAAATAAAGTCAACCAGGCAACGTTTAAAAATGGCCACCCGAATGACTATTCTCTCTAAAACTAAACAAGATCCCGCTTAAATTTGAAAAGTGGCGCGTGATAAAACATCTAAGGCAGGGCCCCCTTACGTTAGTTCAAAACAACGCTTTGACCTGAAGCACAGTAGGGAAGGACGTTAAATAAAACACTGAAATTGTGAAAAGTTTGTTTAATAATGACCGTAATTATTATGATTGTGAAAACCCGGAACTTTAGTTGATGTACATTAATATAAACAAAGCAAGCAAAGCAAAAAGGTGTCGTACTCTCGCAAAAGTAACTGCTAAGGGTAAAAAGAGTACGACGTAAGAAAAACCTTGCAGTTTGATTAAAACAGTCCAAAAGTTAATTAACAAAGATAGTAAATGCATAGGTATCTTTGGTGCAATAAAGTCCTTTTGTTGAAAGCAAGATGGAAAATTACATGGTCTTGTAGGAAAATTTAACTAAAAACAAGATATGCGGAAATTATTGAATCGCCACTCATTTAACGCACATAGATTCTAAATTGAAGAGCTTTGATTAGCGTAATCTCGCTCCTGCAAGATGGGTAGTCCGCCCCTGGCTTCGGGGTTTCGAACCTACAGTTGGATGTCGAAGACTATCACGGAATTAGATGTCGTAACACAAATTTGACTACAGTTTTTAGCACCCCCGTGACTGCTTCATTCACGGAGAAAATGGTTAGTAATAAACAACAAGTCAGTACATACATCAAACGAATCAGTAATTCCCATAAAATAAAATGAACCAAACTTACATGAATGTTACTTCAGGGACAAGACCAAGTAATCAACATCAATAAACATAAATTAAGCAAACATTACACCAAAAATGTAAACAATTACAAACAATAGCATAACGGTATCACACATATGATTGCATTGCGGTTAAACCAAGTAAATTTCAAAAACAAATATTCAAACACACAAAAATATAAAATGCGGCAAACAAAACACAAATACGATATAAAGAAATGCAAAAATTACTACCTGCATTAAATAACACAAAATAACAACAAACATTTATGGAGCGAAACGTTCACGGCCGCCATTCAAGACAAGATGCCAAACGTCACTCCCGTTCGTGCTTTCTAGGTGGCGCAGGCAGCTTTTTCCCACCTAGAAATTGCATGGTTGCCAACTCTCCAAAATGTATGTATCATCGTAAGTTGTATATACAGGGTGGAACCTCTCAGGTTGTAAAAAGGCAGTTTAAACCTCGCTTGAAAGTAAGGTTTGAGATTGGTTGAAATTTGACAACTATGAACTAATCATACGTTAGCTAGATTTCGCCAGAGAACATGTTCAATAAAGACGATTTATTATATAATTGTCAAGTATTAAACAAAATCATCAATGTGTAAAATATATTCGTTATAATTGGTCTTTACAAAATTAACCACCCTGTATACAACTATAGAGCATTTATCTGGTTCTAACCTTCTAACGCTAATGTTGGTAATTTGGGTGGGGTGTGTGTGGTACCTCTGATTGACAACGTAACATAACCTTCCTTTGCTGTCTTTCCTTTTTTTATTCCCAGTCGAAAAACTTCTGTCATCATGTCGTAAGTATAAATCCTATTTTAACAAAGTCATCTTGCTGGATAAATATTTTAATTTTGAATCCTTTTCCTGAAATATGCCTAATTAAACAATTTCACCAATTATTTTTTTATTTAGATCAAAAGTCTCGCGTGATACCCTTTACGAATGTTCCAACGCGGTGCTCAAGCATGCGAAGGTTAAAAGGAGAAACTTCTTGGAAACTGTGGAAATTCAAATTGGTTTGAAGAATTACGATCCCCAAAAGGACAAACGTTTCAGTGGCACAGTCAAGTACGTTCCACCTGTTTAGCGAGAATGTTCAGATTGTTAGTAATTTTCATTGATTATCTAAACATTCCCGCAACTCAGGAAGCTAAGACAATTCTTAGCGGACCTGCACCCAGGGTCTTAAAATAACTGGGGAGATAATTTATTATCGCACAGTCGGGTAAAGATGCGGCGTGGTAAATCGACTTGCGGTAAATACATTTAAATTTCTCGTTAACAATTCCTTTGTATAATCTAGTTTTGTTACTGCAGACTTAAGCATATTCCCCGCCCGAAAATGCAAGTATGTGTGTTGGGCGATCAACAGCATTGCGATGAGGCAAAGGCGAACAATGTTCCCTTCATGGACGTCGAGGCGTTGAAAAAGTTGAATAAGAACAAGAAACTCGTAAAGAAGTTGGCGAAAAAATATGATGCATTTTTGGCTTCCGAAGCGTTGATTAAGCAAATTCCTCGTCTTTTGGGTCCCGGTTTGAATAAGGCGGGCAAGTTTCCTGGCTTGTTATCTCATCAGGAATCCATGATGCAAAAGATTGACGAGGTGAAGTCTACCATCAAATTTCAAATGAAGAAGGTATGTTGGTTGTTATAATATACCGGCATCATAAGCCAGCAAGTTAATGTTTTAAATTTTGTTTGCACGATTTGTTGATGCCAAAGCAAAACTAGAAGTGTATGGCGTATCAACTTTTAATTTGGTACGTTTAAACTTCCGGTGTACAAATTATCATTAATTTTCAGTTGTATTTGACCGACTTTTTTTAGGTATTGTGTTTGTCTGTTGCTGTTGGCCATGTGGGTATGTCACCAGATGAATTGGTTCAAAATGTACATCTATCGATCAACTTTTTGGTTTCCTTGTTGAAAAAACATTGGCAAAATGTTAGGTCTCTTCATGTGAAATCATCCATGGGGCCACCACAGCGATTGTATTAAGATCACAGTGTTTATTACATTATTGTAATGAATGGCTTTGTTTTTTAAGTAAACGTGACTATTCTAATTGGTTTTTTATCTGCCACTGGTTTGGTCATGTGATTGTTTTATTTAATTTCATACTCTTGTAATTGAAGGAATATTAATATTTCAAAATCATATACCCACCGATAAAACTGGTTATTACAAAAAGCTTTTGTCAGTTGCTTATCCAATTATTTACCGAGACAATGCAAATTTTTATTAATTGCCCCAGTTCCCTTTAAACAAGAAGATAGTATTCCACCTTTTATAAGATTTTTTTGACACTAATATGTGCCGGAAAAACCCTTTCGTAAGAGTGAAAATTTATCAAGAGATTGAGGGAAACTAGAGAACTAGTTTTCTTAAAAAATAGCATATATATACTGTCCAGGAGAAGGATGTCTATCATGGGGATCTCGTGAACCATAAAAGATGCCCAAATCAGAGAAAAGATGCACAAAAGGAAAGCCAAAACATTCCGAGGATGTGCCAGAAAAACCGAAATATGCCGATTTAGCTTTTATTTTTTCTGATATCTGAACAGATACACAAAATTTAAAAAACCCATTTTCAATGCAACGTTTCGTTTCCGATAAATCATCATCATTATATGGCCCATAAAAAAGTAATTTCGTGTTGAGTAGCATTTTTTATTAACGAATGCACGGCACACAAAAAAACAAAAGGTGGAAACTGTTGATATCAACAGGATGGTGCACTCGCATACAACGCCCTAATCGTGCTAGAATACCTATCGGGTCAGTAGAGGTATTTGCAGTTTGCCTGTAATTAGAAAACACACGTTGTCGGTGTTATTCAGTTATTGTAATTGTAACCAGTAATAGCAACAATTAAATTGTAATATTTGAGAAATAAACACCCATAATGAAACTAAAAGTGTCTTTTCTATGCAATTCAAAATTTTGGCATTTGTGTTCTATTAAGAGCGCGCTGCCAGAGTGGTGGGGGAAGCTTATTGCCTTTAGTTTATATTGTTACCATTTCAAAATCAGACGGATAACGGCAGATGGCGCTAATGTTGTCTGAAAGCACTGTTAAGTATCTTGTTTTTATCTCGAAAATTCGCCGCGTCCTTCGGAAACTTTCGGAGACTTTCGCTATATTTACAACAAGCACGTACATTTGTAGTCAGGATATAAATAAAGAAAACAAGATTATGCTAGTTGGTGCATGACATCACGCTGACAGAACTTTAACATCGGGATTCTGAATTTGTGTTTTTATGATTTAGGTGAAAAAAATGTATACAACCTAAACGCAAAATATGCCAAAAAATATGAAGAAATCGTTAGACCACCTTTAAAAGTGCTATAAACTATAATTGAGCGCACTATAAACAAGAGGAAGTACAAGCGTTTTTCAAAATATGGTAGATACCTACTTATGCTAAAGTATCTAAAAATTTTGGAGTAGATTACTACATAAAATCTAGCATAAAATATTGATTCATGTAGGTACACAAGTTATAATTAATTGGATGAAAAATGGATTCGATATATTCTTTTCAATAGTAGACTTACACTGGTTTGTAATTACATCCCTACTTCTAAATAGAACCATTTTTAAAGGAAAAAAGCACGAAATAAAAATTGCACGCCAAGAAACAATTTGCTAAGCTATGTGTACCATAAACCTGCGAAATCCTAAAGCACAGTTATTTTTAGAACAAAGGGCTACTGTGTATTGTCATATTGTGGTGGTGTTATTCACAAGCTCCGACCTTATGTGATGTGGGTGTTGATTGTGATGCGATTTCTTTGACTGTCTACTTTTAGTCCAGGAGGCAGCGACATTTTTTATGCACTCATTTCTATAAAGTTGATATTCTGCGATTTTGATAGTACGAGTAAACACAAAGTCTACCACCCACGCAAGATGCATAAAAAATTATTCAATTGAACTTACTTCTACAAAGATGAAATTTTTGTTTCAAAAAGTTGATGTCATTTCAGACACACAAAAATTTGTCTACCGATCGCTGATTAAAATACTTTAGAAAGAAATGTGGCGTTTGCTTTTTCGGGACGCTCACCATCCCTACTGACAGGGGCACCTCCTCACATATCGTATTTTGGCATAATATGGAACCGACTTGGGACTGGGAAATACCATACTAAATTACTAAGCAAATTGTGGAACATAAGAAGTTTATTTTCATATATCGCGTGCAGTGAGATGTCATATCATATTTAATTGCTCTCATTGCGAACTATTAGATTTCGTTGAGAAATGAATGAAGGATTAAGCAGCAATGCCGACTTCCTACATCATAGCACAGAATAAAATCTGTGATCATAGGTATAGTAAAGCCATTGTGACTCAGTCTCAGTCTTGAATTTTGCGTGTTGTAGCGTTTCTTTAACATTTGAATTTCGAAAGTTGGAATAGTTATTAAGGTATCAAGGGCGTTATGAACTAAATAACGCCCCAGGTCAACAGTGTAGAA